AAATATTTATTTACATTTATCATAAATATTATATTAAATATTTAGTTTATATCTTTTAATAAATATTTCGAATAAAGCTTTATATAAAATATGCATAAAATATTTATATACCACACATTTCAAAAAACAAATAGTAATAAATATTTATCATAAATATTCTGTGCTATCTATATACAGTATAATTCGTTATTAATGATTTGGTAGAAAAATATATAGCAGAATAGTGGGAGAGATTAGGAAGATATTTCTTCATAAGATGATAAATCGAAAATGTAATTACATAAGAAAGAATAATGTATTAACAGTGTTAGCCAATAGCAGTCTAATTGAAAATAATCTTGTTTTAATAATAGTTAATGAAACAAATAATATTTAATTAAAACAAGAGCACACTGAAAAAATTTACGAAATTTTTATGAACATTCGTTTGAATAATACTAAGCAAATATTTAATAAATGTAAACATTTATTTATTTGGTATATACGAGTATATAAGAAACATTAATTTGATTTAAATATTATATAATTTTTTTATTGAAGTAAATATATTTCTTTACCGTAAGTAAATATTTAATTAGTACCATTTGAGGAAAACAATTTATTAAAATTTAGTAAACATTTTTAGTGCACGGCGCATTTGTTTTATTAATAATCATTGAATTAACAAGATTATTTTTAGTTAGACTGCTGATGGCTGATGCTGTGAATACAGCATCGTATTTCTTCCGTGTAGAAACGTTTATTGTTTTATTCGCGGTTTCTCCTTTGTTTTCTCTCTGCTTTCAAGGAAATCGATTTTGGAACAGTCGTAAGGTGTGTATGATTCTCGTAATCTCGCGACCTGCGACGAAGTGCGTGATCGTCGCAATCCCGGATCCACTTAAGCTCGTATGTTGGCAGTGATATCGTACACGCGGTTAGCGTTATTTATACATTTAACGTATTAAACGTATTGCAACGTGTTGCACAACGCGAATTGCGTAACGCAAAAAGTGTACTATTGTCATTCGCTCGATTGACTTCTTCGATCTTAAACGAAAATCCCGATCAACATAAACTTTAGATTGGGCATCAAATCAGTCCTTAGCTGTAACTTATTGTATGTTTTTGGTAATTTTTCGTCTGTTTTTGGTCATGCACTATACGTGTTGCTTTCAATTAACTATAAACCGTTGCATTCAATAAAGCCATTTTTATTATTATTGTTATTATTATTATATTTACAATTTTAAAACCAAAACTCCTCGCATTCTTTCGGTGCATCATTTTTGAAAAATAAGAGAAAAAAACAAGAAACTCCCTCGAAAATAATTCTCTTTTGAAAACGGAGTTATAGTTTTGCAAAATTTATGGTAATTCCCATTCGGTGTTGTTTGATTCGCTCATTAATGGATTAAGCGAATTTCACGCCGTGGTGCATACCCCTCCTCGCTTCTCTCTTTCCCCTTCTCTCTTCCTCCTCCTCCCTCCACCATCGTATGAATGAGCCTTTCGCCGGCTCGCCATCGGACTCGTGTCGACCTCCTCGCGCCTCCTGTGCTCCTGACATCGCTATCGATCACCGTAGATCATCGATCGTCATTATCGATGATCCCACAAGCGATCGAGACTCGCGCGACTCGCGTTCGTGCGCTCGTACAAAACGCCATTTATCGTTATGTTATTGCGTCTGTTAAGTCACACTCATTCGTGGACAACTCGACATACATGTATGTGCATATACAAGCCTCATTTAGAGTTACGTGACGAACATCGGCGTCCCAGCCGGTAATTTTCGCCGAACTCGTTATACCGCGTGCATAGCTTCGTGATTCACTCATTGCTATTTATTCTTTTTGTATGTTTTCTTTCCTAATCGAACGTCTGTTTCTTTCCGGAATGCACTCGACAGAGTATGCGCGGTACTCAATTTATATAGGTACACTCTAAATTTCTTGCGATAAAATCTCACTTCAAGAGAGTGAAAATACAACCACTCTTGAAAAAAAGTGAAAATATTTCACTTCTTGAAAAGGAGTAGCAATTTTCACTCTTTTTAGAGTGAATTTTCACATCAAAAGGAGTAACTCCAGAAAAAGAGATTTTATTCCTTCGAAGTGAAAATTCACTCAAAAAAGAATGAAAATTGTCTCTCTTTTTCAAAAGGTAAGAGGTGGTTGTATTTTCACTTTCTTGGAGTGATATTTCACTGCAAGAAAAAAGTGTACATACAACATAGAGTCGTAATATAATATCATAAGAATATTAACATGATCTTATTTGTCATTTACAAGTATGCTTATAAATTATTAGTTTCTGTAAGGGGAAGTTTTAGGCACAAGTTACCCCTCATCCGAGTGCCACGCTTTCCGCGATCGGTCAGACATGCAACCCAGTGCGAGTTCTTCCGCTCATGCCTAAAAATATAGGTCATATATCTCTCTTCTTCTCTCTCAGTTGATCGAAACGCATTCATTCCTTCTCATCCAACCGTCTACCTCTTAGCACGTTATTAATTCGTGTGCACTTTCTACTCTTCAGATCAAAATATTCGCTCATTTGTCACACAACTAAAAAAACTAAGTTTTTTAGAAAATGAATTTTAATATTTTGATTTATTACAATTTTGTGATATTAATTATAAAATGTAATTTTGGGATAATATAAAAGATTGTAGAGGAACTAAAGTATGTTCTTTTAAAGTACGTTGTCTTTTTTAAGTTTCCATTCTGTGTCTGCAAGCAACGAAAAATTTCTGTATTATGCCATTGTTGTAGCAAACGAGCAATTGTGCAAGCACATATCAGACTACACATATCGAAGGTTAGAGCTCAAGCAATCAGACAATTTTAATTTTAATCCGTTTCGTTCTGATTGATTGAATTCCAATCCCTAATTTACAATTTCGAATGCGTTGTAGTCTACAAACTTCACGCTTCGGTGAGAAGAGGAGTAGAGTCACACAAAGAGCGACCGAAACGAATGGAGTCTTCGCGACTCATCGCCGTCTCGCATTTCCATCTTCTTTTGTTTCTATTTTTAGATTTGAGGTATCTTTTCTTTACTTCAATTTGCACGAGAAAGGAAGTGATACTATAATAATTTCTCTCCCAATGTTTTGAAAGCAAATCGAACAGAACGGAATGAAATAATCCAACGTGACGTAACGTTCAGCGCTTCCGCGTTCGTTCCGCGTTTTCTCGATCGTGCGAGAAGCGTCGAGAAGTTAGGCGCGAGAAGCTTCTAGCGAGTTCTCGCACTTGCTCGGCCGCCTCCGCCTGCGCTCGTCACCGCCGCCGCCGGTGGTCACGTGGTCGCGACAACCCACACGTAACCGCGCATTTAAGTGCTCCCGCGGCCCGCGCGTTGTCAGTCTCGTTGTCAACCGCATTTGTAGTGAATTACGCGCGCGATCACGGTAAAACGCACGTGCACACGGTTTTTCTTTTTCTTTTTTATCTCTTTTGCACTACTCGAGGAGAACAGCCTTGAAAAAGTACAGTCGACGAGGCAAGTGAGAAAGAGACGTACTCCGAGTGTATAGCGAACGTCGCTTATGTAATCGCGTTGGAGGCAGTGGAGGAGACGAGGAAAAGCCGAGAGAGAAACACGACGTGTGAGTGTCAGCTATTGCGAGCGAGCGAGCGAGCGGAGTGAGAGAGATATATTGAGAGCGTGTGAGAGCGAGAGAGAGAGAGAGAGAGAGAGAGAGAGAGAGAGAGAGAGAGGGAGCGAGAGAACACAAGGAGGTGGAGATTTCGAGAAAAATCTCACGGCAAATCTTTTCTCGACGTCTTTGCGCTTTCGAGAGCCGCTAAAAAAAGATTTTGTGCGTGATATATTCCGGAAAAGGAAAGAGGGAAAGAAGGAAGGAAAGAAATTACTTGCTGGTGCAAGCGAGAGAGAGAGTGCGTGTCGGGTATCCAAAACGGACGCGCGGGCTCAAACGGGTCCAGAAAATGGACTCGCCTGTCATCGTGGACGCAGCATCCAAATTGGGACGAGAGATCGATTTGGACCACTGCTCGTTCCCCGTAAGTGACGTTATCCACCTCTCTGTTTTTTTCTTTTTCCTTTTTTTGGCGTTATTTTTTTTCTTGCGAGACATGAGACTTCTCTGCGCGCAGTTCCGCACTCCGAGAAAGCTCGGTTGCTCCGCGAGCTTCTCGAAGTTTAAAGTTCAGGTTTCTTCCTATTAGGAACACTCCGTTTGTAAACGATTACATCTCGGATCGACGTTTTTGCGAGCGAATGTTGCGCGTTATGAATTACGCACTGCTGCTGTGATTCCTTTACCGCTTAAGGCTAATATTTCATTTATACGATAAGTATCTCAAGTATGTTGATTGGCTACAGAACACAGAAGTTCTCTGGAAATTTTCTATCCTATAACCAATCAACATGCTTGAAAAATGTGTTACACAACAAATGAAATATAAGCCTGAAGTCGTAATCAGACTAGAGATTGAGATTAGATTGAAATATAATCAATCAAAGTAAAGCTCGCGAACTTGAGATCAGTTTTCTTCCTTGTAATTGGTTAAATTTCATGTCCAATCTCTAGTTTGATCACGGCTTTATGTGGATTGACGATTGATAGTTACCCGGTCCTATTTTAGCCAATCACGATGCAGCGTGATTGGCTGAAATAGGACCGGGCAACCGTCAATCGTAATCGTCAATCTGTAGTGTGATGCGGGCTTTAGGCTGAGTTGTTACATTTTTCGATAAATTTCAGCTTACTCTCTTTCTCCCTCTCTTGTTCTCTCTCTCTCTTTCCCTCTTTCTTTTGTCCATTAAATAAATTATCACATTAAGTTCATGCGAAGATGGAACAATTGATTCTAATGGGTTTTCTACAATAAACCATTACCTAATCTTTAAATCTTAAGAAATCGACCAGTTATAGTCAATTATTCTTCTCATATTTGACTGCAATCGATCAATTTCTTATGGCTTAAAGCTTAAATAATGGCTTATTGTTAAATAATGGCTTATAATTAAATAATGGCTTATTGTTAAATAATGGCTTATAGAAAACCTATTAGGGTTAAAGCAAAGTCTTGTCTAACGCACGAAACATAAGAAAATGAATCAATCAAAGTCCTTCATGTCTTTCTTTTTCACGAAATAAAAAACTTTGATTGGGGTTGATTTTCTTATATTTTATGCATTATGCGTTTTGCAAAAGTCTGTGCTTCGGCCCTTGATCTTAAAAATTGCAAATCCCCTACAGCACAAAGTTGCACAAAAGTTGCAGCAACACTGCATGTTGCAGCAATATTGTAGGATTTTGCAGCTATATTGCTGCAAATTATGTGCTGTATGGAATGATATAAGCAAACGTGGTAGGCGCATGGTGGTAGTCCTCTTCCGTCTGGTTCCACGCTTCCAAGAAGACACGATCCAGATCTTAATGGAATCATCGACGCACACGAGATATTTCCATACGTTCCGCACATTCTCCTCACTGCCGATATGTAGCCCTCTCTCTTCCTCTCCATCCGCCGCTGCTCCTCGCATTCCGCGTTTCGAGATCGCGTGGAAATCAGAAATAGCATTCGCATCGTATTTTTCGCGTCACATTCGAACGCGTCGCGACGGAACGCGTCGTTCGCGAAAAAAAGAGAGAAAAAATACAAAAATCGAGATATTATCGTCGTATCACGATGTTCATCCAGAACTTTCGAGTTCCATTATTGTAATGGTCGCAAAAGAAGTTTATCTGAATCGTTAATTGATATTTCGACGATACGAAATGATTTATGATATACGAATTCTCGAAACAAACATAATGAAAAAAAAACCGACGTTCGTATCAATGTATCATCGAATTATCGTGAATGATTGCGATGCGTGACCGCCAAACGCAGCAGTCATGATGTCACGAAACCTATTTAGATGTCTCGAAAGACCATCGATATTATCATGGTCGATATCACTAAAGCCCATATTAGACCATTCATTGCAGATTAAGAATATCAAATTGGAGATTAATGATCGCGAATTGGTGATTAGAATTTGACCAATCGCATGTAATTTTAGCTCGCTGTATCCTGATTGGTCGAATCCTACACGGAAAGAACGGTTTTGCTGAAGTATTGAAAAATTTAGTCAGATGCAGATCTGAAAATAATTTTGCTGAATCATCAAAATAAATTTGTAGAACACTTAAACGTTGATGACAATATTGCAAAATATAGTCTTAATATTTTATTCTGAAAAAAATTAAATTTTTATAAATATTTTTGAATAGTTTTAAGTAAATATTTACTTAATAAATGTAAACATATATCTATTTAGTATAAGAATTATTAATTTGATTCAATTATTATTTTTTATTGAATAAATATTTATTTACTACAAGTAAATATTTACTTACTTACTAGCAGTATTCAAAGAAATATGCATTAAAATTTAGAAAATTCTTTTTAGTGTAGAGCTTGAATATTCTACGTAATTATTTTGATGGTTCAAACAAAATTATTTTCATATCTATCTTAATTATCAAATATTTTAGCAAAACTGTTCCTTTCGTACAATTGTAGTCAATTTGCAGTCCTTAATCTCCAGTTCGCAAACCTCGGTCTCCGATGCATAGTCTGATACGGGCTTAACGGCACGACGTCAAAAGGCGCGGCGTGACGTCATACCGGTCACGTTATCAGATACCTTCCTACGCTCAATATCGACCATATGATTAGGCGAGATCGCCGATATGTGCAGCAAAGGAGAGGGATGGAAAGAGGAATTACTTCATACGATTGACTCTTACACGTTCCAATGACGTTTCCCTCTCAGCGTTCTGGAACGCGATGGATGATTCGCGTGCACGCGTGGGCGTATTTGCGCTTGCTCCAACGAAGACGGAGACCGAGAACCAAAAAGAAACGAGACCGAGCGATCGTTTCCCCCGTATGATATCACCCGGTGGAAATAAAAGAAACCTGTAAAAGCGAAGGGGAGGAGAAGGAAGATGGGAAAACGAATTTCCCGTTTCTTCAAGATTGCATGGACAGAACGGTTTTACTGAATTATCTAAAAATTTAGCTGTATACAAATCTGAAAATAATTTTGTTGGACCATGAAAATAATTATGTAGTACGCTCAAGCGTTTACAATACTGCAAGAAGTTTTAACATTCTAGCAACCTGTTTGTGACTTATATATAATTATTTTGATAGTTTAAACAAATTATTAGGATTATTATTATACAAAACTGAAAATCAGGGAAATCAAGGAAAGTCAGGAAATTTTGCAAAATTTTCTGGAAGATAAAAATTCTTGACTTTAAATAAGTTTAATATGCGTATCTATGCAGTGTTTTGGCATACTTGTACTAACTTAACAATTAAATACAAGTAATGTCTGCAACATTAATAGTAATTTACATTGCTATGTTAAATTGTCTCTCAACAAAATATTTGACGGTTTCCAAATCAGAACGAAAATACAAAAAATTTTAAAATATTATTGAAAGCATCAGCGAAAATTATGAAATTTTGTCTGGAACTCGAAGGAAAATTATGGAATTTTAGGCTGAGGAATTTATGGCAATGATTTATGATAACTTTTAGGTTTAGCTAAATTTTTAGATATTTTTCTTCAAAACTGTTTTTTCCTTGTACTTCGAGAGTCCCACGTAATGTATACTTTGATAAAAAAAAAATTATTTTTTTAATCTATTTGTCTATCTATCTGTATCTAGCTAAATGTTTAGCAAAACCGTTTTTTAGAGCGTGTTAAAATAAATTCGACTGGAAGAGACAGCCAAGGCATCTCGACATTCAGTCGTCCGCGGTAATAGCAAGCGATGCAGGATTAAGTGCGTCAAAAATGGATATTTGGATTGAAGGCCCTCTAAATTTAGCATTAAAAAAATAATATAAGTACCCGAATGCGCGATGTTATCCTGTTGCGAGTCATTTTCGTGGTTGACAGGCGAAAATTTAATGCGGTCGTGACGTGTTGGCCATGGCCAGTCAGGCCGAAAATAGGAAAATCTGATTGTTGGGTGTAGGTACGCGTATGTAAGAGGTTCTCCCGATTCTCTTTCTCCCCCCCCCCTCTCTCTCTCTCTCTATACTGTCCCTTCTACTGCTCTTTTTCTCTCATTTTCTCTTTCTTTCTCTCGTATACGTCCCGTGTATGGTTTTCTTACAACGTATGTCCGCCGGTCGCGCTAAGTGGAACGACGAGACGACCTCGATTCGCCGCAGGAAGAGAAGGAGGAGAGGGAAGAGAAGGAGGATTCGTCACCTCGTGCCCGATTACGCGAATTTCCCCTTCAGCGCCCTTGCTCGCGTTCGGATCGAAGTCGAGACTGAATGTCACGCACAGCTGTTGCCGTTAGGGTGACTTCGAAGAAATACTTCAATTAACTTGGTCAACAATCAACTCAACTAATAACTATTGCAAAATTTCTAGCTATACAGGATGATTCTTAAATATTCTAAAAGATTTTAAGGAGAAGATTCCTTTACATTATAATTCATTATAAAAACTTTATATGATCATGTATTTGAAATGGCTCAGTTTCAAAAATACAGGGTACCAAAGTTGAAGGAAAAAAATTTTGTTTTTTTTTCTAAAAATTCGAAAACCACTGGAAAACACAAAATTTCATCGAAATGACCCGAATGGTTTAAAAAATTTTTTTTTCATCTTAAGCCCAATTGCACCAACGTTTCTTTAATTTTAAGTGAAGTTTAAAACTCTCTCCTTTTCTGTCTCTCTATCGGCTTTAAAACAAGAAAGAAAGAATGTTAAGCTTCGCTTAAAGTCTATAACTAACATTAGTGCAATCGGGTCTTAAATAAATCTGAGAAGTTATCCTTTAAAATCTTTCAGAACATTTATGGATCATCCTACATAATTCATCGTATTTCATTTAATCTTTTTTTCTATATATTAAACAATAAACAATTCATTATTCTACCTACATTAGCAAAATAATATTGCTTCATAAGTTAATCGGAATTTGATCGAAGTCGCCCTTAATTTATTAGGGAATATGAATTTGGCATAAGTTAGGGAATACACCGAATTTGGTTATCTGCCATTGAAGGCTAGAAACGAAAGTTATTGCCTTACATCTCTACTGTAATTGACCAATTCGATTACTGCTTACGACTTAACGGTTGGCTGGTCCTATTTTAGTCAAAATGGTGCATCATGATTGACTGAAATATACTGAATACTCTCCTTTTTTGTTTCGTTAGTTGATAACCATATTTAGAAATGAATTATGTATAACCAAAATCAAAATGACCTGTATTTACAGCTATGACAAACTGTCAAATTAAAAATAAACAGAAATAAACATGATTTAATTTCTCGGAATAAGAAGATAATTTTTGGTATATTTTATATAGGTCTATTCTATCGATTGCAAATATTGTTCTATTGAAAAATATTTTTATTCAAACATAATTAATAAGAATCTTTTGTGTTTTATTCCTTTATAATCTGAGATAGTAATGATGAGTGAACGAAAGCCTTCCTTCCAGATTAAACATTTTCTTGAACATTTACCTTATATTTAAATATTCGTTCGTCATGATTGAATATTGCGTAAACTGTTTTTTTAAGCTTAAGTTTCTCTCTTGCACATGTCAAACACCTGTCAAGCCGGTTTTAGGTAACAATGCGATCAAGATTTATCTAGTTGTTAATGTATGAGTAATTTCTGATTTCAATAATATCAATTGAACATTGGTTTCATCAAATTTTTGTCGGTCTCCGTAGGGGTTCCCGTTTGACGACGACGCCGACGTTTTCGAGCGTCCGCGCAGCGACGGCATCCGCGCGCACCTGGACGACCTTGCGGCGCGCCACCCCGAGTTCGCTGAGCACCTGCGCGGTCCGCCTTGGCCGTTTAGCGGTTCCCTGCTGCGCGACCGTCGCCGCCGACGCCGCGGCTCCGGTAGTAGCAATAACGACGATCAACAGCAACCAAATCAACAGCATCAGGACGAGGACGCGCGTAGTCAGGCAAGTGGTAGCAGTGCCGCGAGTGGTGCGAGTGCCGTCAGCTCACACAGCGGCGGCGGTGGCGAGCACGACTCGACGTCATCGTCCGCGATACCGCAGTACGGTCTACGTAACACAGTGGACATAGGCCAGCAACAGCGACGCCGCGACATGGAGACGAGTCCGGAGAAGGATGAGCGTGGTCAGCGCTCGATGTCGGCACCACCAACGGAAAGCTGGCAACAGCCACAGTCGCAACAGCCAGGTCAAGAACAGCAACTACCACCGCAACCTGGTCAAGGTCAGAGATTCGTGTCCCGAGTAGATATCACGCCGCAGCACAATCAGCAACGTGCACAGTCGCCTAGTAAACCAGCCAGCAATGTCCGACATATCCCCATCTTCGTGGAGGGTCGCGACGTGCCGGTGATGCCAAAGGTCGCGACAGACGACGCGCCGCCGTCCACCTTCCAGCAACGACAATCGTCGCCGCCGTCTCACTTCGACAGATCGTCACCACCAGCGCATCATTTCCACAGACCCTCGCACTTTAACGAACGCTTCAGTCGGCAGCAGTGGCCACCGTCGCATTTCCAGGATGCGTTTTATAAGCCAGCAGGTTTTGAACAGCCAATGCGGCGGCAGTTTCAGTCACAACATCAGCAACCCCAATACTATTATCAACAGCCTCAACATCAGCAACAGCCTCAGTATCAACATCCGCCATATCAGCAGCAACAGCAGCAGCAACCTCAGCATCATTATGAGCAACACCATCAGCAACAGCAGACACAGCAGTCTCAACCTCAGCCTCATCAGGAACAGCAACAGCAACAACAAGAAACTCCAAAACCAAAGCCTCCGGTGCCAAAGGATCCTCTGGAGAGAGTCGCCCAGGTACAAAAAGAAGTGGACAATCTAGCCGAACAGGTGCAACGTTACGTTGGTGGCTCTCGGCAAGACAAGGAATACATGTACTTGGACGAGATGCTGACGCGCGAATTAATCAAGCTGGATGACATAGAGACGGAAGGTCGGGAGAACGTGCGGCAGGCGCGTAAGAACGCCATCAAGAGCATTCAGGATACCATTAGCTTGCTGGAAACAAAAACACCAATTGCCAAACAGCAGGAGCAACAACCCACCGCGCATAAAGTGGCTCAGGAGTGTTCTGAGAAAGATCAGCAGGGAGAAGAAATCTCGCACGTTCCTGAGCCGATGGAGGTAGACGCGAAGCAAGAGAAGCTTAGTAGCGAGCCGATACCGCTTCCGCCGGTGCCGTCGTCGCCGACGAAGGTGAGAAATCGCGAGTGAAGTGACGTTAAAATGCAGGATATTTGTCAACTGTACAGAAAATTTTAGTTTAACAATTTGTTTTATTCTTCAAATTATATTTTATCTTTTGTTTATCTTTTTTTGTTTAGGACAAATTATTTCACTTTTACGATTGCAATATTTATACGAATTATCTTATTTTTTGGCATTTTATTTCGGTTTTGCAGACGAAAGTGGAATCCTCGGAAAGTGAAAGTGCGGCAACAGCTGTCGAATCAGCAAATCAAAACGTTATTCCTACTGGACAGCAGATTACCGAACAGAAAACAGAGAATCCAGTTATAGCGGAACAGCCTGTCGCATCGACAGACGAATCAACAAAATGCGCGGTCGAAACAAGCAAGGAATCAAAACCGAGTGATGGAAAAGATGAAGAACAACAAAAAGACTTGTTACGAACAATGGAAAATAAACACGCGACATCAAAGCAGCAGACGAAGGAAACGACGGAGGGAAAAACGGAAGTGAACGACGGCCAGCGGAGTTCGACAGAATCGCCGAGGTTGCAGAAGAAGGCAAAAAAGACGAAGAAGAAGGAGCAGCAACAGCAACCGGTGTCCGAGCAAGCAATCCCGCTGCCACCACCACCAACGGAGAGCACGAAGTAAAAACAGAACGTTGAGGAAGTGTCGTATAGTCGAATGTGGATCCCAACGTGGACACGACTCGACCAGAGTTGACGAGAGAGAG